TTAAGTTGGAGAATTACACCTTTTTTTAAACCTAGTCCTTCTGGACAGGTGGGTCTGATTTTGCTTTGTGTTTCTAATGCAATGCACTAACTTCTACAGACTGCTTTAAAAATGTTCCCACAGTGGTAGGGCACTATTCTAAGAAAAAAACAAAACAAAACAAAACACTAAAGTATTATATCCCTCTTAGGCAGGAAGGAGAACTGAACATGAAATCCAAATTTCAAGCAAGTCATGTAATTGCTACATTACAATATATGTCTAAAATCACACTTCATGGAAAACGAATGAAGCTGCAATGGTTTTGAGAGAACAAATGCTAATATTTGTCTTTGGGAAGGATCCAGCAGTACCTGCTATGAATGAATAAGGGTGTCTCCAATTTCTAGTTTAAAAGAGCTGCACGATTTCACCCTTTTCTGTCCTCCCAGTGTCTCCGAGATGACTAGTATTAGACAACTAGTCATGAAGTCCTAGAAAATTGGGTTTCCTTGTGATTCCAGTTTCAGAAAACTGATGTGCTTATTCATTCTACCTTCCTTTAAGTACCTTTACTGAAGTGCCTAAAAACTTGTTATTAACCTAAGCTTTCTCTGTAATCAGTGGAGAGAGAGCAGTTTCTGAATGATTCTATTTCTATCCATTAGCTAGGCTGCAAGGGTAGAGGCTAAATTTGGTCCTTACACTAAGAGTTGGATTTGAGTGGATGATGGAAACACTCCTCCAAAGCAGGTACTTTTCGGTCATATTTTTAGTGGTGTTTTCTCTCATAACTTCTATCCAAATTCTTTTGCTTTGGTTAAAGATATATTTTAATTGTCATTTCTGGAAGACTAGGAAAAAAATTAGAAACTCTTTTAAAGGTAACATATTTTCAGGAAACAATAACATTTTTTATTGTTGTTGTTCTATTATATTGTTATTGATGGACCTTGAAATAATTGTAAACTTGATATTAGAGACACTGTAATATTGTAATTCAGACTGCAGCTTTCTCTCCACAAAGAAAGAAAGGATTGAATACAAGAATTTGGAGTGTGACCCTGCAAACTTCTCTTAAACATTTTTTCTAAGATGTGCAAAATTGGAGCCTGGAGTTATCATTTGACTCTGCACATTTATCTAACCATAGAAGAAAAAAGCATAGATTAAGAACTTGAAAGGATATTAATAAATTGCAGTTCAGTTACAAACATGGTTTTCCGGAAAAAAATGAGAATAGAAATACATTTTAATGTGTATTAGTAAATCAGATGAAAGAACTGAAGCAACCTTATCATTTAGGAAAATCAAACGCAAACATAAACAAGCCTTTATCTTTAAACGATTAAAAAATGGTTAACCGCTATATGCGGTTCTTTGATATAATAACTACCTGAGCCAGGCATGATCTTATTTTATAGATTCTGTTTTTCAGGCCAATTTGCATTTCTATTCAGATGCTTTCCTACTTGAACCATGACATTTTGAACACTAGCTGTTTGTAAAACTTCTTATGGTCCAATACCATCTGTGGCCCAGAATGTGAAGGACTGGAGGAACCTAAAGCACAACCTGCATTTCACAGTTATTTGCAAACTGGCACTATCATCAGACCTACACAAACGCATGGCACTGTAATGTCCGAGTACAGTGTTGCAGCTTCTACTTCCCAAGTCCTCAGCTTTACTGGAAACTATGAAGGTAGAAGGTGTAAGTTACCCTTCACTATAGGTACATGCACCACATTCACATACAGCAAAAAAATGTGTTCTCTCATGGACTACCAAATAATTTGCAGTGAAATACACCATGATGTCATTTGGGAATAACAGCTTTTAGAAAACCAGTCATGTAGTATAAAATTTAGCATTATCAGTTTGCTTCCATAACTCTTTTTACAGCTCCAGTGGTATGGTTACATGCTGCCTTGATTCTTTTATTTACCTTCAAACATGTATCACCCTACGAAGTGGATGACGGCAGCTGAGGCTTCCATTTTCTAGGCATTATTCTACTAAAATCAACAAAATAGTCATAAAATAGATTATATCATTAAGTTAAACATATATTAAAAATACACACTGCAAGTTGCAGTGTGAAAGAATGTGCCTTTTACACCTTTGTTAGTGCTAGCATCCTTGTTCCACTTACTTAAACATAATACGCATGGATGTATATAAAAAATAAATTAGTATTTACTGGAGTATTTGTATAAACAGAGAAGCCTGTGGGACCACAGCAGGTTCCCCAATTAGAAGTCAGGCACATCTTTGCAATGTGGTTATTGGCTGCAATCAAACAGAAAAAAATATTTCTGTTGGGTTTTGATTTCATCGAAAGCTTTATAAATATCTTGGAGCCTTAAAAAAAAAGCAGGTTTTAGAATTTTGTGAAGAAGTTTACATGGCTTTGTAATCAACAGATTGCCACGGCATTATTATTTTCTCTCTTGTCAGTAATGAAAAAATAATTCATTTAAACAGAGGAAATATGTGTATTTAGATGAAAATTGAAAGATTCCAAATTGACTTTTATATTTTAAAGGACTCAGATTGTTTTATTCCTTTTGAAGAATAGCATTTTCTCATCCTGCTGTTCAGTGTTTCCACGGAACCCCTAGGAACGATGTCACCACATTTTATAATTTATAGATGCCCTGCTGTCATATGTCAGACACTTTAGACATTCAAATGAAGAATGCTACTACAACGCTTTGAAATTTGTATTGTTAGGAGTCTTTGTCTGTATGAATTTATTTTAACTTAGAATTACTTAAAAAAATTGTAAATTCTTAACAGTTTTCCATATACACTACTTGGTGATGTCTTAGTGAATGGATATATTAACTGTGTTCTCCGCTTTCAGGAGATCTATCTTATCCCTTACTACTGGTCCAGTTGAAACTTCTCGCATATTCATAGCATTATAAGCACAGTAAATGTTAGAGTATCTATCAACAATAAAAAAGACACTGCAAAATGAGTTTAAGGTACACTTCACTTTGATTTATGTGATACACGCAGTTCTGGAGCTATGAGACTTTTGCTCTGAATGTTCTGCAGTTTTACACTCCTAGCACTCTCTCTGGGACTGATCCAAATCCCATTTCTTCAATGAGCTTTGGATCAGATCTAGATGTGCAGAGCTCAGAAGTAATTTTTACTCTCTGGATGTAGTGCAGATAGCTGTATACAAAATAAACACTGCATGCTTTCTCCTGTACAAAACATTTATTTGTTCTTTCTTGTTTTGCTCATTTCCTAAGTTAAATGTAGGTCATTCAGACTGAAGGTACATTGGTTGCTCTTTATGTATAGAGAAATTTAACACTTCTACAGGGCGTGAGACCAAACACTGAGCAACTGTAATCACTTGAGAAATGTAATAGCTGTGTGCTGTGTCTTATGGCTATTATGAAATGGAACTTATACCTAAAAATGAGGAAAACAGTTAGCTTTCTCCATTTATGGAGCTATGCCACAGTTATGACATAATTCATAGCCAGACAGAAAGTTCCAGTTGTATCCATAGACATTTTATAACTCAGTGTAGTGGAAAACTGATATTGAAGAAAGATTTTTGCCAAGTTATTCATACACAAGCTTCCTTCTCATGACAGCTTCCCCACTGTACTGCAGAGAGGTGCTGGAACTCTGCCTTGGGACCAGCACTTTCTACACCCACGCTGAAGGTTTATGTCCTGAGATGAGGTGCTTCTAGTCCCCCGTGCTCTCCTTCTTATTCTTACTACCTTATTACCCTGCAGTTTTGTGCCGAGAACTTTCTAGCTGTTTTTCTACAATAAGTTCATAAATGGTGGATCTTGAGGATGTTTCCTCCATGATTGCAAGAATTTAATGACCATCTGGGTCATTTTTCAACTTCCCTTCTTCCCTTATTATTCTTAAACAGCTGCAGGTATCAGCAGAGAAAATAATTTGGACAACCTATTTTTCCTTCCAGGACCAGAAAAAGGCAAAAAGAGGAAAGAATAAAATAGGAAAAAACTTATGGGCAGACTCCTTACTTCTTGCTGCTAAAAGGAACAGTAACAAAGTAAAAGAAGAAAAACCAACCAAACAAAAATCCCACAGTTTGATCCCTATATAAACATGACTTGCTGCTGGTATGTAGGAATCTAGAATTATATCCGGAAAGCCTTGCAGAGGTTTTTCTCAATATAAGAACATTGGCAATCATGTCTACTGTATATCTTGTATACATTGGAGGTATTTATCCTTACCTTTGGCTTAATTTCCTGTCCTCAGAAATTGCGTAGAATAGACTAAGCCTCAGATGGCTTAGTAATCTCTGAATTCCCTGCAGTTGCCATGTGACCCTTTATAGAGGTGAACACGATGTGTAGAATAACTTAGTATTAATCAGAAGAGTATGCCTGAGGTTGCTTTTATATTATATCAGGAATGCTACATAAAATACTTACTCTTTAAACTTTTCTCAAGAATTGCATCGTTTTACTGGGCTGATGTGCTACTCAGAACACATCTAACCAAAAAAGTTAAAAAAAACCCCCGACCTGTAGCATTTCACATATGCAGAGCTGTCAGAGCTGCTATAAGCCTGCTGCTGCATAGCCCAAGAAACTACTGCAGTCCCTCTCCTGCCCTGCTTGCCCTGGGACGCAAGAGGAATGTCTGAGCCGGAAGATGAAAACGTCAACATTTGGACAAGATTTCTGACTGCTTTGAAATGGCTTTGCAGTCCTCTGGAATCCTTCATGGATGACCATGGTCAGATATTAGAGATTTATTTCTAGAAATATGCCTCTTGGCTGGATTCAGACATGTTGGTCATGGGCAAAGGCATCGGGGTGCAGCGAGAGGGGCTGATCCCCAGAGAAGGGGTGGAGGGCTGGTGGTGGGCAGAGGGGTCGGACCATGGCCCCCGCAGGAAGGGTACTGTCCCACAGTGCCCATCAAGGTGGGCAGGGGATAGTAGCCACCATCAGTCAAGGGCTGGAGATCTCCAGGCAAGCATGCCGGCATGAGGCAGGTCCACAGGTGAGCAGAGGCTGAAGAACCCAGGGGCCCTTGGCACCCTGATAGCAGGCCTGTGGCAATGTGGGTGACACAAACAGAGAAACAAGACTGCTCTTTAACCAAGGAGGTCTTAAGAAAGGGTTTAAGAAGGCGACCAAAAAGCATTTTATCAAACTGGTAGACTTTTGTGGTGTTTTGGTAGGCTTTTGACTGATTTGTGGGAATATTAGATGCATTAAAATTATGCTTCATAACTAGAAGATATTAGCCTTAGTAGAAGGAGTTGTCAAGGAATAAAGAATGATAAGGAGATTGGAAAGTATGGAGAGTGTGAAACCATGGAAACAGTTAACGTTCTGCTTCTTGTAGGTGGAATTGGCCTCGCAATTCACCTTCAGAGACCTCCAGGTATCCATGGAGGTACTACATCATGTTGCCAGGGAGATCCTGTCAGCCCAAACGTGAGGTGGTAATACATGACTCTCCCTGCTGTATTTCTATCAATGCTGCTGTATATTCGAGCCTGGGAAAAGGATTTGCCCTGAGCCCGTGCTCCTCCAGCTCTGAACTCATGCTGACATCAAGCTTCCCATCTGCAAATGCTACAAGCCCTTTGCAATCTTCCTTCTAAAGCTTGGGCATTATTGGCATCTAACAATATTACCAACCTTGACATCTTAAAACCTATATAGTTTCAAGTCTGAGACACATTTTTCCTTTCATGAGGTCCTAAAAGCTGAAGCAGACACATACATCTACTATTGAGCATTTATTATTTTTAATTGCTTTAAATTAATTAATATTGTTATTAAATATTGTTTAAAAAACAATAACAAACATTGTATATTTACTTTTATATAATTATCTATTTAGCCATTTATTTTGATCCTTTTTACATAATCTAGTTATTATTATAAGATTTGAGTCAGGCCATAGAGATTTTACTCAATGCTTCGTTATTTAAGTATGTTGTGTGTCATATTACTGTTAGCATGAGATGCTATTTCATTAAGATAGGAATTACTTACAGTCACGTTACCAAGAAGTTCAGTATACAGGTCCATTATTACAGCAAAATGTACAACTGCGTAGCAATTAAGATAAGCTGGTACACTTGGATTGAAGGGAACTTCTTTTCCAGTGATCTGTATGAAGCAAAACAGATAATATCCTTTAACAGTGACCTGCTCCAGCCTGTTATTCCTTAGTATTCTTTACACTTACAAACACAAAAAAGATTAAGGTACATAAATAATTGCACAAACATAATCTACGATCAAATGTAAGTATTAGCTAGTGTGAGACAGAGTTTAACTCTGCATGTGTGTGCGTATGTTCACAGCTAAAAGAAAAAGAGAATTACCATACTCTATAGAACAATTTTGAAAATCTCTTTAGGAAATGAATAATGAAAAGGTAAATAAAAATTATATTTTTTCCTTCAAATAAAAGTAAAAAAACACAGCTAAAAGATTAATTTCCTTCAGTTTCTGTTCCCATTTCATCTTACCCTATGCTTTATGACTGCTAATTTGCTAATTTAAAATAGCATGTGTAGAGTTTTTAACATTGATCCAGTAGCATTAAGAGGTCCAAGTAAATTACACAAAGCTGAAAGCCTGTGCATGTTCTATTTACCACTGGGATTTCCTCAGGAAGGCCAAGTCTAGGTTTGCCTGGTCCCCAGCCTGGCCCTTTGAATAGGACAGAAAGCTTGTTGCAGAATCCAGGTGTGGCCCAAAATGTGTTCCAAATATGAGCCAAGGGACGTAACTGAAAAGAAAAAGCAAGTAATTTTTCATTATTAGTAAAATAAAATTTAATAAAACATTGTATTTTATTCATTTTTAGTTCTCAAGTAAATAATTTTTCACAGTCTAAAGAGAATAAATTAGGAATAGATGAAGACAGTCAGAAGTTCAGAAATAGGTAGGAGCCATATCAAGCTTCTGGTTTATAGTGAGAATTACAATGACTTCTGCCCAGCGTAAAATCTGTCTGTCCTGTAATCAATCCAGAGCATTTAACAGTATATTTTATAGTTATATTTGTGGTAGTTTTAATATAGAATTTTGTTACTGGGACCTTGACACGACATACTCTCAGTAACTAAATTACTTCGTTTCTGACTGGAATTAATATTATTGCACAGGCTGTGGTCATCCTTCCAGCTTCCAGCCAGACACCCCTGCAAGTAGAATTTCTCATTCTTTGAGATGCCTCCTCAGGTGAACAGTCATGAAAAGGAAACAGGGACTTCAATACTCCTCAGTCCCTCAGGTTTTTACAGAGAATTTTTATCCAGCTTAAGTGAAGCCTGGACCAATAAACCTAAGGAGCACCACACTAAGTACTTTTTCTTCTCTTTCTTTTAAAAAAATAAACAAACCATATTCAATCTGTTCTGGAGGTTTTGTTGAGACCATGATGGCTGCTCTATAATGCTGACAACATAAATAATTCTGAAGTACCTCAAGCAGCAAATACGCAGAAGAGATAAAAAAAGTAAAGATACTACAGCATGGGGTTGTTTATGAAATAGCAATATTTACAGAAGACAAAAAACAGAAGAAATACATATTTTTGTCTGTGCTTCACTGTATATTGCTCTACATACAGCAAAACAGACATCATTCAGTCCAAGGCCTGTTATATGTCCATTGTAATTAGTTGTTAGTTTTACTGTATTGTATTTTCACGATGACTACAAGCTCTGCATATGCTCAGGGTGGTGAGTAGAAATAATTGTTTTGTAATGAGATACTGAAGAAATTGTAGATAATTTAATTGTCTGTGCAGTAACAAAAGGATGGCCTCAACCCTTCCTAAGAGGAGTTTCTTTTGAACATGAGTGCCTGTTGAAGATACCAGAGTCAGTGATACAAACTATAGCACCTGGAGCATGATGGGATCAAATGAATTTACTGGATGTGTTAAGCCATATACAACTTTTGCATCTTCTGCCTCAAATGTTCCTGATGGAAGAAGAAAAAAAAAAAAAGAACAACCAACAATCAAATTCAAAGTATACATATTTTTGCACAATAACTAAACATGAGAGAACACTTTTCTTTTTACTTACCAAATATCCTGTCCCAGATAATGAGTGTGCCACCATAATTTTTGTCAATGCAGTAAGGATTTCTACCTGTAATAAAAATCATTTGTGAGAACAGTAATGGCATATATAAGAATACATGCAACTGATTTATGGAAATCTTCATCAGTAGCATCAATTGATAATCTAAAAATAATTTTAAATGGTAACTAACATACCACTCCTTATACATCTATAAAGTTTCTCTTTTCTTACTAGGTTTATTGCTCTCTCTACTCAGATTTAAACATACAAATCAAACATAGCCAAAATTTATGTGAAATGTAAGAATTCATTTGGAGACTAAACTCAGTTCAAAATATAAAGACAAATTAAAAAGCAAACAAAAATCATTAAACCAGTTTATACCTAAGAAAATATACGCTAAATATATTTATGCGCAATCATCTCATTAATGGCTTTCAGCTGTCTCTCTCTTCTATGCCATATATCTGATCCTGCGTGAGGAAAACTGATCCTACTATCTGTTTTCTAGGAAATGTATTTGCATATAAACATCAAAAGTATGAGCAAAGAAACATTGATTACATATCCCCAAGTTTGTGGAGATTGTCTGGAGCGACTGTGAAACATCTGATCAGTTCCAAGTGATTCTGTTTAAATCCGATCAGGATCAGACGATTAGTTTGGATTTACAGCAGAGCAAATAAAAGCAGAGTGTCTCCCTCCAGGATTATCAGCACTTGTGCAAATTTTAAGGATTAGAAATTTACAGCACCACAGTCTTTTTAAAAAGTCTATACAGTGTCATAAACACTTTACACATGGAGGATAATAAATAATTAATAACAACCTCTGAGCCTGTTTCAAAATATTTTGTTCTTCTATTCCCCTATTACCTTTTCACTGTTTATCTCTGCACACTGAATGAGCCAAGGGCATCTATGAAATCCACTCCTATTCCTCAGGTAAGTTCATGACATTTTTCAGTATACAGTGGAGTTATTAATCCAATTTACATATGCAGTACAGTCTTGAATGCCTCTGAATATTGATGAAAACTCAATCATAATGCACTTGTGCGAGGTGAGATTTTTCAATAATTCAGACAGCCAAAACCAAATTCCACTAAAATATTTAAGTTTTTCTAAAAGATAATCATGTCTTTTCACACACTTAGTGCTTGAGTTTGAATGCAAAAGCATCTGTTAGCAGTTGGCAAGTTGATGATGTTTTAATAGTCAGGGCACAATGATACATTTTTCTATCACTCTTCATATTTACAAACACTGAATTGTTTTACTCAAAGTCTTCAACTTCTGCTCAATAATTAAATTTACATGTAAAAGCTTTAAAATTTAAATTTTAATTTTAATTTAATTTTAAATTAAATTTTAAAT